AGCACCAACAGGTTCACCGCCGTGAAGATTTTGTTCACAAGGGCGGATTCGCTGACACCAAAGGCCAGCAGTGCTGTGGGGACAGAAGAGGTGAGTGGGGACCCACTGGGCCTCCCAAGCCACCACCCACAGTGCCACGGAGCCGCTCCTATGCACACTCACCAGTAAGCAGCGCAATCAGGATTAGTGCAAAGAAGTCCGGGCGCTCGGCCAGCACCCCTGGCAGGTGCAGTGCAGTCTTGTTGGCGAAGAAGGTGGAGATGTGGTTGCCAATGATGTTGTCAAATGCCGCACTCCAAGCTCGAGCCACACTGGCCGTACCTTGTCGATGGCAAATCCATGCATCAGTCTGAGCCCAGGGCAGAGTGGCATCGCCCACTCCCACCTCAGCACCCACCTCCCTGCTGATCCCACCCCACAGCACCACATGCCACCCCCAGAAACCTCCCCCCATGCTGAAAAGAGCCCAAGCACACATGCCAGCACGCTGCCTGGCCTCGTACCTATCACATAGGAGAGAATGAGGTTCCAGCCGGTTGTAAAAGCCCAGATCTCACCAACGGTGACGTAGCTGTAGAGGTAGGCAGAGCCGGCCTTGGGGACACGGGCCCCAAACTCTGCATAGCAGAGTCCAGCGAGTACCGATGAGAAAGCAGCTACCAGGAAGCAGAGAACTATGGAGGGACCGGCCATCTCCTTGGCTACCTCCCCGGCCAGCACATACACGCCGGCCCCCAGTGTGCTGCCCACCCCCAGGGCTATGAGGTCCAGTGTGGAGAGGCAGCGGGCAAAACGCGTGTCGTCGGAGCTCAGATCCACCACGCGCCGGCGGATCAGCTTCTTCCCAATACTGGTCATTTTTTCCCTGAACATTTTGTCCTCTCCTGGGCGGTGCTCAGCTGCTCAAAAGCCCTGCAAGAGAAGGGACCATAGAAATATGAAGCTCAGTGTCCCTCAGGCAGCAAGACCAAAGCTGCAGGGAGCAGGGCAGGCAGCGATGCCCAGAGGACCCTGCTCCTAGCTGACCCATCAGCACCAAGCCCCTGCCACGCTGCTAGGGCAGAGACTCTGGTGGGTCCCTCCAAGGCACTGTGGGGCTGCACATACCCCACCTGCACAGCTCCTGCACCAGAACAGTGAGCCAGGGATGGACCCACTGAGTCCATGGTGGGAAACAGGCTCATTGCTCAAGCACTGTATGGTCCCAACCACGGGGCCCCTGGGCACGTCCCAGAGCTTGCCCACTGTTTTCCAGCAACTCCCCACTGATTTGGTAGCCTGTAGATCCTTCAGCCCAAACTCGACTGCGGGTGCATCCCTTCGGCCTGGCGTGTGGGTGTGCACATCAGCAGTGGTGGGGAGACAAAGCATTCCTCCGGCAGAGGATTTGGCAGGCTGGGCTGACTCACTGGGATGCAGCCATTCCTTTTTCACTTTCAGCTTCTGCACCACACCCTCGACAGGGATGTGTAACCAGACACAGCACAGGCCCCCAGCACAAATCCCCTGCCTGCCGACAGTGCTTGCCAAGCTGCCTGCAAGCTCTGCAGGCTCTAATCACCCTGAACGTCTGAGCAACAGTATCCTCTGGCTCACAGGAGCCATCCATCCCTGAAAGGCTCTTAAGATGAGCACCTTGTGAAACAGGCATCCAGCACAGGGTGAGAGGAGCCGCAAGGAAAGTGACTCCCAATGCCCACAGCCACGGCTGGCACTTGTGCCCATCACTGAACCATCCACCCACCAGCATCTTCTCCCTGCTGGCTTCTCCTTTCATTGAGAAAGGAAACACATCCCAACCAGGTGCCCAGGGCAGCACCAATGCTGCGCTGCATGGATCAGTGTAACTACAAAAGGATAACTTTGTGACTCTTTTCCATAGAGGGGGGTTATCAGTTAGGGTCACAGGGGCAGCCACCAGTGGCAGCCACCAGTGGCTGCTTCCTCATAACTAGCAAACCTGCCAGTTTCAGAGAAACCTCCTCCCGAGCTCACACTTCCACAGAACCATTTCTGAAGAAACCTCCTCCCGAGCTGGCACATGTCACATTCAGCCTTGGCCCAAGGAGTTGTTCCAGCCTGCTAAGCCTCTGGGAATAACTGCCCCAGCACTGGCACCCTCCCCAGCCACTACATGGAGAGCTCTGGCTGCCTTCCCCAGGTCTGCTCGATTGTTCCAAGGATTTCTGACACCAGAGTGAGCTCCGGAGTTGCAAGGAAGGGGCTGGTAGCAGAAACGTGCTCCGCCCTTATTGCGAGAGCATGGCCGAGGAAAAAAGGCGCGAGTGGCACCGAGGAAGATGGGGGGCAGCCTCCCCTTCTCCCGCCCTGCCCGATGCTGGGAACGCGCTGAGCATCCGGATGAGCACCAGTCTCTGTCAAAGCCGGCCGAGGGACAGCGCTCGGCGGGCACCGGGGGAGCCGCGGCCCACGGCCGGAGGAGGCTCACTGAAAGCCACGTTGTCACCCGACACGGAGAGCGCGCAGCGAGCTACGGGCGGGCAGAGGGGCGGAGAAGCAACGTGTTGGGCTACAACAGGAGCCTCCTGCTGCATCCCAGTGCCCACCGCATCCCGGTGCCCACCGCATCCCGGTGCCCACCGCACCCCGCCGCGACTCGGGGCAGGTGCCGGGGGCCGCCAGCCCCCGCTCGGGACCATTCCCCCAGCCCCCGCGGGGGCATCTCCGGTCCCGAGGAGTGCCAGTCAGGCTCGGTCCCGCCTGGGTGTCTGGAGCAGCCCCGGGGATGGAAAAGCCCGAACGGGTCCGCCACGTGCGGGCGGGAGCTGATGCAAGCGCAGCACTGGTTGGGCCAAGGCCCCTCCCGGCGCGGCGGCGGCGCCCGCCAACACTCACCGGCGGCGCGGCTCGGCACGGTTCGGCACGGCTCGGCACGGTACAGCTCAGCTCGCTCCGGTGCGATCCCGTTCAGTTCAGATCAGATCAGCTCTGCTTCGCTTATTCTGGGAACAAGCCGCCGGGCGCCGGAGCTGAAATGAAGGGCGGGACGGCTCCGCCCGGTTGATGACGGCGGCAGCAAAAGGAGTCATTAGAAATGAGACCCCTGGCAGAGGGCTCTGCTTCTGGCAGAGCCGCCGCGGGGCAAGCAGCGGGCGAGCGGAAACAGCTGCGCGCCCTTTACCTAGAAGCCCGTGCCCTCCCAGCCTCACGGGTGCCCGGTTGCCCACCACTGGCCAGCCGGCCGCCCCTATCGTCAGAGTTTTTAAAAAATAAAAATTCAAGTAATAAGTGGTAGCGGGGCGAGGACCGGACACGGCTCCGGTCGGCCGCCGGGAGTGTGGCTGCTGCGAGCGGCAAGTCCGAGACCTGGGCAAGGCACCGTGACCTGGGTGGCGTCAGCCGTGTTCCCTCGGCAAAGGCCACGGAGGGGGCGGCTGAGGGTCCCCGGGACCAAATGTGCCATGACGGCAGAGCCTGCCCCGGCCTTGCCCTGTCGGGGCTGGGAGCGAGGCGAGGAGGCGAGGCCAGCCCTCCTATGGGGGCTGCGAGCGGAGCTCAGTCTAAGGCACGGAGAGGGACTGTGCTACGATCTCTGTATGCTCCGCAGGGAGCGGGGCCCGGACAGCGCTCCGCTACAGCCTCCTTAACTCTGGAGCAACAGGCATCCCTAAGAGATGTCGGGAGAACCGCTCCGCTGCCGGGCCGGCAGCCCTGAGAGAGGCGGAGCCAGCACCCTCCTCGCCAGCACGCAGGCCGGTACCCGCCGCTCAGCAGCCCGACCTGATGCAATCCAGTGCTCGCATGTCGTGAGCACCCATTCAAACTGGCAGCGATGCCGGGAGGGTGAACCAGCCCCTCCCTGGCATCATAGGCAAGGCTCCGCTCTGGCGCCACTGTCGAAGCAACAGGTCCAGCCGCTTCTTTCCTCGGAAGACGACCTCGGGATGACGGAAATACCACCGCAGCAGCTGCGATGACCTCACGGTGATGAAACACCAACGCACTCTGCGAACGCCACTTCCAGGCAGGCTGTGCCCCTGCCAGTCATCAAGGTCCCTTCCCTTTCCGGCCCCATGACCCCCACTGGGAACTAAGTGAGCTCAAGATCAAGTTGCAGAATTCCGTTTCCTTGGGCCGTTAGAGCCCAGATGCTTCCCGCTCCTTCATGAAGGCGAGGACCCAGCTGGGCAGCACCATCACCGAGGGTGCTCCCGGGCAGGGCCGGCAGCACCATGGGCACAGCAGGACTCCAAGGGGGGGTCACCCTGGCCCAGGCAGACAGACAGACAGACACTGGGTGGGTACCCAGAGCAGTGAGGGGGTGGATGACACCAAAATCATCCTATTCCCAGAAACCCTGTTGCAATAGCACGTGCTGGGAGAGAGTTTCAGTTTCACGGTGGGAGCAGCACTTGGCATTGAACATGTCTTCAGTTCCCAGACCTCACTGGCAGCTCCACATCTGTCTTCCCAGTACCCCATTCTCACCTCCCAGTCTTACCGTTCTCCACCCCTGTCATTCAGGGCCCTGAGCCAGCAGCACAGACCAACGGCTGGGAGCAGGCAGAGGCAAGGAGCGACCTAAGGGCACGTCCCAACAGGAGCAGCAGGAAGGCAAACAGTGGCAGGGCATATGTTGCCAGCATAAAGGAGGGTAAGAGATGGCTGTAGCCCAGAAAGGGGGCCAAAAGCCCTGCAGAAGCAGATCCCTTGGATACCCTCATTACCTTCCATGACTGAAGCATAGGATATCTCAGGTTGGTAGGGACCCATAAGGACTATCAAGTCCAGCTTTACAAAACTCTCCAGCTTTGCCTCTCTCCCACCTGGAAGCACCAGGTTTGTCCAGAAAGGCTTCCCCAGAGCCCTGCTGTGCCTTCATCCGCCAGAACCCAAGCTCCTCCTTGCAGCAGACCTCAAGTCTCTGGCTGAGCAAAACCAGCCACAGCTGGGCACAGACCTGCCCTGTCTGCCCAGCATTTGGGGAGCAGTGGGCAGCACTGGGCACTGCCCCTACCCCAGCAGACAGCAAGCACCACTGGAAAAGACACCTTTATTTTATTTCTTTTAAATACAAGCAGTTACAAAATTCACTCATTCAACAGTTCTACAGGTATCACTGGCCCAGAGGCTCAGGCAGACGGATATGTGCCCATGTGCCAGCTGTCAGTCTCTCCCCAAGTCACCACCCTTGAACACTGCTGCATCTTCCACACAGACTCCTGGGAAGCAACAGCAGCGTCAACCTGACCCATGGGAAAGGCCACGAGCTGTGTCCCTTCCATCTGGCAGCCCTCGGTTACAACGGCAAGGGACCACCAGAGCATCCCTGCAGCCTGCCCAGAGGTGAGGGCTCACTGCAGTGAGGGCACATACCTGCTGCTCTGAGCTGAGCCTGCAAGGAGCAGATTGTCTGGTGATAGGCTTCACACTGGGCAGTCTTGTCAGCTGCAGGCAGGAGGCAAGAAGGGCTGTGCTCAGCCCACCCTGAACACCTCAGCCCCAGACCCTCTAGGACACCAGAGATCCTGCTCTACCCCCTAAACAAGAAGCCAGCCCCATCCCCACGGAGCTGCAGGCTGTGGGCTCCAGGGAGGAGCACAGGGGATGTCACCTGGATTGTGGGTGTCCTGCAGCCCTCAGAACAGCCAGACCCACATACCAAGCTCCCTCTTCACTCGCTCGAGCTCTTTTTTCACATGCTCCAGCTCCTGGGACAGCTGATCACCTGCAGACTGGCAAGGGCAGGATGTAAGTGTGATGCAGGGAGTGGTCACCCCCACGCAGCGACCAGCAGCTCAGCCACAGCACAGCCCATCCACTGGAGGAGCACTGCAGCCCACCCAACACCCCAAGCCCAGCACCCTGGGGATCACTTCCACGGGGTGTCCATCACAGCAGCAGTGCCTGCTGAAGGAGCCACGGTTCACTTAGCAGTGAGCACCTGCCAGCACCTGTGTGTAACAAGAATGCCTTTGGCAGGTCGCAGCCACAGAGTGAAGAGCCCTAAAACTGCTGGCAAATGCACAAACATATTTTTCAGGTAGGAGAATTCATAGCTTGGGAGCTTCACCTTGCTGCAAGCTCTGCTCACTCCATCCTGGGTACATGTCCAACATGTTAGGAGGTATAAAAGCAACAACAGAAGCCATAGGAGGTTTGCTTGTTTCAAAAGGCCCTTAAAAATTTAACTGGAGAGAAGCCTGCAATCCCCTGAGCACCGGAGAGGTGGTAAAGCCATGCAGTAAATGAATACGGTTTTGTGTAAACCCTAGGGAAAGGTTAAATCAGCTCATGTGCCATCCAGGAAATTGGCAGCCCCAGGTCCCATCATCTTCCACCTCTGGCATAGCTGGCCCCAGCAACAGTGTTGAACAGTGCTCTGTGCTGCCAGGACATAGCTGGCTCTTACCTGCTCAGCAGGGACTGAATCTTCACACCTTGAAAGCTCCTGTGTAGTTGATCCTGAAGGAAGGCCCAGGAAATGAAAGCAAAGAGCATCAACTCCTGCTCAGACAGTGCCCTGACTGACCAGGGCCGCTCCCTGGCCTATGGATGAGCTCAAGCACCAGATTTGCTCAGTCTCTTTGCTGGGTGCCTCTCCAGGGAAAGGGACTTCACCTAGCCTTGCTGCTCCGCATTTCACCTCCCCTCCTCTGAGCCCAAGTACACGCGATCCCCTCCAGTCCTTTCCCCAGAAACAGCCTTGACCCTGTAGCTGAGATCTGAATGTTCTTCCCATGGCAGCAGCTCCCCCTCCCGCCACAACTCCGCCACCTCTGGCGTTTCTGCCAAGACTCACCCATACTGATCCAAAGGCGCTGGGATGAAGCAGCTCTTCCCAGAGGCCGCAATGAGGAGCGGGAAGCTAGGACAGGAATTGCTGTCGGTAGTCTTGATGAGGGCTGTTTGTGATCCCCAGCCTTGACAGCAGCTATAGTGAACAAACATTAGGCACGGAGGCTGCTGCTCCGAAGCAGCCACACTGCACCATTCTTCAGGCAGCATGGGGCTTAGCCAGGCTGCCTGTCCTAGGCCCACAGGCACGACCCCCACAAGACCATGGGGTGAAGGCTCCAAAGCCAAAGGGCTGCTAGCCCACATTGGCGGAAGGCCAATGTTAACATCACTTGGGGCATGAGCACGTTACCTAAGCTTCTTCCTGCGCTGCTCCCAAGGACTCCTCGCTCCTCCTTCTCTGTCCTTGGCCATGCTGCAGCCCAGGCCAACCCCCTTCTCCCCTCCTGCCGCAGCATCAGCCCCCCCATGCTTCCCCGCTTCGCATGAGGCCAGCTGACAGGTGTGGAATTACTTTTCATCTGTGTGTCCCGGGGGGCGGGTTCGGGAAGGGCGGAAGGTTGTGCCTTTTTCAAAGCCCGGCCAGGATGCTGAACCCTGGACCTGGCAGGCGGCATCCCCTTCAGCCTGGTATCTGGGGGAGAGAGGGAGGGTTCAGCAGCGCCGGACAGGCAGCGGCCGTGCCGGGGCTCCCCGCGGCGACCCCGCTTACCTGCGGGCTGGAGGAGCCGCTTTGGGCAGGCCGAGCCCGCCGTGCCGGCCGAGGGGAGCTGCAGCCCCTGCGAGGCCCGTGTGTGGGTCGGAGCGAGCCTGGCGCGGCCGCGGCCCGGGGAGCGGGCGGCGGGGCCGGGGCGGCCGCCCGAGGGCTGCGCGGCACCGAGCCGAGCCCGGGAGAGCGGGTGGGCCCCGGGGCCAGCGCCGGCCGCGGGCTGCGGGAGGCACACGGGCTCCGCTCGGGCCGGGCCCGGGGCCGCAGCGGCCTCGCAGGTGCTTGTGCCCGAGTCCGGGGCGGGCACCGGCGTGGAGGTGACGGGCCCGGCGGGCTCGGCCCACGACTCGTCGGTCTCCCACGGGTCCCGCGGAGGCGCGGCGGCCTCGGCGAGGCGCAGGCGGTCGGCGATGAGGCGGCACTCATCCTCGAAGAAGCTGAGGTAGAGGGGGGAGTCCTGCAAGTGCAGCGCCTGGGCGTGTTGCAGCAGGTCCGGGCAGCCCGGCAAGCCGGGGCTGGCCCCCGAGCCTGCCCACGGGTCCGGCCGCCACATCGCGCTCGGGCACCGCCGCCCGCCCCCGCCCTGCGCCCGCCCCGTCCCACCCCGCCGGTTCCCCCGTCCCGCCAGCCCCCAGGACCAGGCAGAGGCTCGGCTTCACGGTCCTTCTGTTTACTCATGAGAAATCTAGCAGGGCACCTTATCTAGTCAACGCCCGTACTATCCGCACCAAGAAGTTATGTTCACCGTGCGCGGACACCGTGGCAGAACGCTCTGCTGCGGATCGTGCTGGCACTGGAGCTGCCCCAACGACCCAGTGCCCAGCAGGGGTGGGACACAGCTGACACAGCGCACACCCCAGGGCAGCTGCCCCGAGAAGGGGTGGGGGCTGCCTGTGCCACTCCGGGGCAGCCAGGAACACCAGCCAGAGGTAAGAGGGGAGCAGGAGCAGGCCAGCCTTCCCAGCCCAATCTCGGGGCACTGCCAGCTCCAGACAATGGGACTCTCCAGGCCTTCTCCCAGACACACGAAGCAGTGCAACAAGGTGCCTGCATCAGCCTACCACACAGAGAAGGCAGCAGGGCAGGGCTTCCAGTGCAGGGAGGCACTGAGTCCCAAGCGCTGCTTCCCCAACGCCTGCCCCCAGTCACTGATAATAAAACAGCCCCCAGGACCAGGCAGAGACTTGGCTTCACAGTGGTTTAATGCGAACGGCACCGGGACGTTACACTGGACAGGGTGCAGACAGCTGGGTGGATGGCAGCCCCACACAGGGCAGGGGAAGGGGCCGCCCCCGAGCGCGACCGGCGGCATCAGGAAGGCGGGGACCGAGCCCCTCTGCGGGCACGGCCGCCTCCACCGGCACCGGGCTCCAGCTGCCCCATGGCCCTTTTGGGAGCGGCTCCCTCTCGCTTTCCGCGACTTCTTCCCATGAGCCACCTCTTGATCAACAGTGCCAGTTCCTCACCAGGAAACGAAGGAGACATTGGGAAGGCCTCAGGGAACGTGCCTGGCAGGAAAGGGAGGGCAGCCACTGCAGGTCTGTGCTCCAAGAGAGGCTCAACTGTGTCACCACGAAGTGACCAAGTGCTTATAAACCAGCCAGCCCTGACATGAGGAGGCCCCAAGCTGAGGCTCAACCTCACTCATCACAGCTGTGGCAGCCAGGGGAGCCTCCAAAGGACAGTTCTGCTGCAGCAAGTCACAGCCTCGTGGTCCCCTCAAGCTCTGAATGCTTCCCTGATCAGTCGTGTGTTCTTGCTTCACACAAGCGACTGCCTAGCTCACTGCAGAACAGGGGAGAACACACCAAGAGCCATTGTCACTTCTGCTTTGTAAGCAAATGTCTAACCTGGGACTGGCTGACCAGTTTTCTACCATCCTTTTCTGGAGAGGTGGCCTCACCCCAGGCCCCATTGCTGAGCTCCTCCTGTGGCAGCCATTCATGGATGCACCCTACAACTGCTTCCACCAGCCTTCTCTTGCTCCTCCTCAGCCAGACCCGCCTGCTCCTCACTGCAGCTGGGGTGCAGGATAAGGGCACCGGGTTCAGCCCAGCAGGGTGCTGCAGGGAACACCAGCACAGCAGCCCATGGCACCGCAGACCGTGGCATTTCTGAAACCCTGGGCCGAGGCATCACAGCACACATGGCTACAGCCCAGACTATCCCATCTTCCACGTGCCAAACGGCCCACACAGAGCATCATGAGAGCACACAGCATGGAAACCCCTCAAGCTGCCAGCAGCACGTTAGAAAGGAGGGGGCACAAACACACCAAACAGGTCTGTAATGCAGGAGGCTGAGTGCGGGGTTCGAGTAGGTGTTGGGTCTCAGCACTTCCAGACAGTGAAGAATGGGGGTTTCATGCAGGGTGAATGGGGTTGGATGAGAGACCGACAGACCCAGGCACCTACTCACTGGTTTGGATAAACCTTACTAAAACGCTAATACCTGATGCGATCACTGACCAACATGACAACTGCTATTCTTCAAAGTCTCCTGCAGAGATGCTTGGGGCTGCACAGACAAGGGAGCGAAGGTCATCTCACACCTTCCTGTATAGGGAAAGAGGCAGCTCCTACACCAGAACACCATAAGCAAGTTCCTGATCCACACCTATCCACATCTGCCCCTAGACACGGGACAACACGCTCACTTGCATAAATCTTCATACCTTTAGGCCAAGACCACAGCCCAGTAGAACAAACTGCTGCCAGTTACAAAAGAGGAAAATACTGAACAAACTGGGAGGTTCAAGAGAGGAAAAGCTGGTTCAGAGAAGACAGATTTAGTGTAAAAATAAATGTCATTTTTGCAGGAGGGAGGGTGGAATGGAGGAAGACAGTGCCAGGTGCTCCTACTGGCGCACTTTCCCTGGGACGTAATTCCTATCAATAGTCTCCTCTTGCAGGAACATATGTAAGCAGCGCTCGTTCTGTGCCAGTGGGTGTCCAGCAATTCTGGAAGAAAATCAGATGTGGAGGTTAGCACAGCTGCCACCAAGACCCCCACACCTCTGTTCCCTGCAGCAGGGAGTCAGACAGCTGGCTCAGCACATCCACACCATGCTCAGCCCAAGGTCACTTGTTGGTACAACAGGACCAGTAAGAGGTGCCTGAGCACAGAGTGTTCCCTCCCATGCCGTGCCCTGATCCAACACTACGGTGCTGGTGGGTCTCTGCAGCACATCTGTTCTGCTAATGCTCACTGCACTCTCAGGAGAGAGCGTGGAACACAACCCACACTCGAGGCAGGACTTGTTCCAGTACCACAGTTTCGTTACCCACCTGCAGGCACCACCCTTCAGCATTGGCACCTGCCAGCAGCAGGTCAAGACTCCCTCATGGTCAACCCACAGCCCCCTTCCATCAGCAGCAGCCCAAGGCAGCACACAGCAAACCCAGGACATCAAGCTTACTTGTTAATAAACTGTTCTAGTCCCTGTCTCCGCTCCTCGATGAAAGACTCCTCAAAGATGCCCTCATCTCCTCGGAAGGGGAGCTGTCGTTTCAAAGCTTTTCCAGGCAGTGGTGGCACTACAATCTAAAAGCACAGAACCACCCTGTCAGCAGAACAGCCACCTGCAATCAGATATCCTTTGCTGTTTGATGCTCATCTCCAGCCCCATTACGTGGACAGAGCCACAAAAAGCACCCACCACCACAGCCTCTCCTCTGGGCAGCTCAAGATTATGGCTGTAACTGTTCCCTCATGTCCCAGTTTCAGGAATAGGCAGGTCTGAGCCAGGCCTCACCTTACTGTCTCGTTCCAGCTCATTCTTCAGCCATTCGAAGTCGCTGTATCGTCTCCTCACACACGACTCCTTCAATTTGAAGATTGGGAGGTTTGTCTGTAATGAAGCGAAGCAGTTAATTTGCAGGTTACTCTGGAAGCCACAGAGCACTTCAACATGCAACTGAAACCTGAAGCTACAATGAGAAAACCAAGCCCCCTGAGAATAAGGCATCACAGGAACACTCAGCTTCCTTATTCAGGGCAGAGAACACCAAAACCCTTCAGATCCAAGCAAGCCAGGCTACTCAGTGCCAGCCATTCCCTCCCCCTCAAGTGACTATTTCAGGAACGCCCCCCTTCCCAGGGGCACACACTGGGATCAGTGCTGACAATACAGAGAAGGCTGGGTTTTTTTCCCTGAGTTCAGTCCATTTTGAAGTGATTTACAAGAGGGCTTCACAGCAGCCTGCAGAGCATAAGAACATCCAACCCGACACTGCCATCTCCAAGGAAGAACTACAGGAGGAAATCTTTTCCCAGCAACTGTTCAAGGCCAGACCTCATGCAGCAATCTTCTTCCAGAACAGACCACCTACCCTAACAGGCGTTTTCACATCCATCATGTGTCACTGCATAAATGCAAAGCAATACCCCACCCTTCTCCCCCTGCCCACTGCAGCCCAGCAACTGAGAGCTTCACCTTTAAACTTCGACCTTCAACTTCACCTTTATCTCATCGACACAGCCTGAAACATTCCAGGAACTGAGGCAGCAAAACCTTCTGATGGGCAGCACTCGGATGAACACCGGTATTAGTGCAACACGATTAACTGTATTCTTAAGAAGGCAGCGAGGTAAACCCAGCTGCACCTCGGCTGGTTTCAGTGGACTAAGAGGTTCCCATTGCCACCTGCAGGCTGACGGGAGCCAAGCGCCGGAGCAGGAAAAAACCAAACACCAATTCTTCTTAAAGGCAGGGGAGGCTCAGCAGCTAAATAACGCCACGATCAGAAACCTAAGCCAGCACCACATCACACGCCAAAGGGAGCTTGTTCCAGGGGAAGCTCAATGTTATTTTATCCAGCTATCAGACGCAGAGCTGTGAAAGGGTCCCCAGTTCAGTGTGGTTAAGGCTCAGTGAAGGGAACACTGCGAGTGCTCAGCCCGCTGCACACACTCCTGGGTCACAGGCCCTCGATAAAGCAGCCTAGAAGGGGCAGCCCGCCTGCACTGCGAGCAGCTCCCGAGACACTGCTACACAGTTTTCCTCCCCTGCCTGAGATAACCAGCTCTGTACAGCCATGCCCTGCTCAGCAGCCACCCAGCGGGGCAGTAGCGAGAGGCCGGGCGCAGGACCCTGCTGAGGCAGCTCCTCCCTGTCCCTGCGTGCCCCAGCCCCGCTGGACGCCGAGCGGCCCCGGCGAACCCCCCAGCGCTGACCTTGAGCCCCGGAGCGCCCCAGCCCGGCGCTGCCAAGCAGTGACACCACCCCGGGCCCCCCCAGCCCCGCGTCCCGAGCGCCGCCGCCCCTCCCCGGGCCGCACCCCCGCACGCCGGGGCGGCCCGGCCCCGCAGGCCCGGCGCGGGGGCCGCACCCGCATGCGGAGCTCGTAGCTGGTGTATCTGGCCCGGCCCATGCCCACGGTCTGCGGGTTGAAGATGTCGATCTCGAGGAAGTTGCTGGGCGGCCCGTACGCGTCCGTGAGGTCCTGCGGCTTCGCGTTGAGGCGCCGGGTGTCCGCCACCGCCGCCTCCGACATGGTGGTGCCGCCGCCGCCCCGCCCGGCCCGGCCCGGCCCGCCCCGCCCGCTGCCGCAG